GTCCAAAATCAGCCGAAACGAGTGGAAACCGGCCGAGATCGGAGCGCGTCGCAGTTGGGAATTTCGCTCGCTTTTCCTGCTCTGGCGAGCACGAGGGGCGCCGCGAAGGCGGGCCGCGGCTCCGGCAGCGCGACGCCGTCGCGCGCGACGACGGACGCCTCGCAGGCCGTCGCGTCCGACAGCTCCAGCGACAGGATGTCGTTCGACCCGCCGTTGACCACGCGCCAGCGGAGCCACGCGCCCGCGGGCGGGCGGAACGTGGGCCGGAGCTCGCCGTTGACCGTGAAGAAGCTCGCGTCGAGGGGCGCCCGCAGCTCGTCCTTGAGCGCCGCCGCGGCTTTCGTCGCGTCGGCGCCGACGGCGCCGCCGGCGACGACGGGCAGCCGGCTCCCGGACGCGACCGACGCCCAGGCGTAGTTCCGCGCCTTGCCGGCGACGAGGTTCGTCGACGCCAGGAGCATGACGACGTCCTCGGGGAACCGGCCCGGGTCCGCGTCCGCGACGACGACGGCGCCGAGCATGCCGTAGGCCTGGAGGCCCGAGCTCCCCTGCGCGTGCGGGTGGTACCAGTAGGTGCCCGGCGCGTGGTCCGCGGGCAGGTGGTAGTCGTAGCGCTTCGACTCGCCCGGCGCCACGAGCGAGAAGACGTCGTCCTCGCGCGGCGACACCTGTGTGGAAATCAACCGCTGGTTTGGGACGTCCCGACCAAACTTTGAAATGCTCTCGCTCGGTCGAATCGAAGTCGATTCGGCTGATTTTCGGACGGATCGATGGCTCTCGTCGAGTTCTCGAAGCACGGCCGAAGAGGCTGGTCCGAACCGTTCGATTACGCGCACATTGAAGTCGGGTTGAAGATTTGATTTGCACGCGGGGCGACGCGTGCCAGCCGTGCATGTGGAGCGACGTCGTGTTCGGGCGCCGGAGGCTGTCGCGCGCGCGCGCCGCGCCGTCCTCGGCGCCGAGGCCGTTGACGAGCTCGACGGTGACGGCGTCGCCCGGCGCCACGACGAGCGTCGGCCCGGGCGTCGACCGCTCGTAGCGCCGGCTCACGACGCCGAACGCGTCCGGCCCCGCGCCGACGCGGAGCCGCGTCCGCAGCGCGCCGCCGCGCGACCGCCGCAGCGGCGCCTGGCGCAGGCCGTAGCGCCGCGCGAAGGGCGTCGTGCTGTCGACGCGCACGTAGCTCAGCGTCATCAACGCGACGACGACGGCGAGGATCACGGCCGCGGCCGCGACGCCGCGCGCGAGGGCCGGGCGCATGGTGTCTTGGTCGCGCGCCCCTTCGAGCGATGCGCACGCTTGCGCCTGGGATTGGCGATGCGAATGAAGGTGCGTGCGCGCTCGGCGGCGCGCGTCAACGCGGAGCGCTCTTGCTCAGGCCGTGGACCTCAAGCTTGCGGCAATTCCAGTTCACCCAGCCAAAGTTGCAGCTCGCCGCGCGCAGAGCCGCGCACGCAGAGCCGCGGCCAGCACGCACAGACCGCGAACGCATCGCCTGGGACCTCCTCGACACGGCTCGAGCCCAGAAAACGGTCTTTTAAAACGCCCCGGACGCGCCGTCGCCAAACCAGACGCCACAAACCATGCCGCTCGGCGACCTGCGCACGATCCTGCGCCACCTCGGCAAGTGGCCGTCGACGAAGCCGCGCGACTCCATCTACCGCGCGCACGTCATGGGCGAGTACCGGAGGCACGCGGGCGAGGCGGACCCCGAGGCGCTCGTCGCGCTGCGGCGGCGCGCGACGGACTACGCGAACCTGCTCACGGGCGTCGAGGAGCAGAAGCGGCTGCGGC